ACGCTAAAAATGACCCATTTTTGACCAAAAAGCATGGGCTATAGCCCACCAAACACTTTTAAAATGACCCATTTTTGATCAAAATGCATGGGCTATAGCGCACTAAAACCGTCAAAAATGACCCATATTTGATCAAAGTGCATGGGCTATATCCCATCAAAAACGCTAAAAATTACCCATTTTTGATCGAAATGCATTGGGCTATAACCCATAAAAAACGCCAAAAATGAACCATTTTTGATCAAAAAGCATGGGCTATAGCACACCAAAAACGCTAAAAATGACCCATTTTTGACCAAAAAGCATGGGCAATAGCTAAAAACTACTCATTTTTGATCGAAATGCATTGGGCTATAACCCACCAAAAACGCCAAAAATGAACCATTTTTGATCAAAAAGCATGGGCTATAGGCCACCAAAAACGCTAAAAATGACCCATTTTTGACCAAAAGGTGTGGTTTATAGCCAACCAAAAACGCTAAAAATGACCCAGTTTTGACCAAAATGCATTGGGCTATAACCCACCACAAACGCCAAAAATGAACCATTTTTGATCAAAAAGCATGAGTTATATACAGCCCACCAAAAACGCTAAAAATGGCCCAATTTTGATCAAAAATCATGGGCTATAGCACACCAATTAAATACGCTGAAAATGAGCCATTTTTGAGCAAAAAGCATGGGCTATAGCCCACCAAAAACGCTAATAATGAGGCATGTTTGATCAAAATGCATGGGCTAAAGCACACCAAATACGCCAAAATTGAACCATTTTTGATCAAAAAGCATGGGCTATAGCCCACTAAAAACGCTTAAAATGACCCATTTTTGATCGAAAAGCATGGGCTATAGCCCACCAAAAACGCTAAAAATTACCCATTTTTGACCAAAAAGCATGGACTATAGCCCACCAAAAACGCTAAAATTGGCCCATTTTTGACCAAAAAGCATGGGCTATAGCCCACCAAAAACGCTAAAATTGACCCATTTTTGATCGAAATGCACTGGGCTATAACCCACCAAAAACACTTTAAATGACCCATTTTTGACCAAAAAGCATGGGATATAGCCCACCAAAAACACTAAAAATGACCTATTTTTGATCAAAATGCAAGGGCTATAGGGCACCAAAAACGCTGAAAATGACCCATTTTTGAGCAAAAAGCATGTGTTATAGCCCACCATAAACGCTGAAAATGTTTCATTTTTGTGGCAAAAAATGGATTWTAKCSYAYCAGGTACGCTATAAATGACTGATTATCGAGGAAAATGCATGGACTGTAGCCCGCCAAAAACGATGAAATTGAACGATTTTTGACAAAAATTGCATGAACTATAGCCCACAAAAAACACCAAAAATTACCCATTTTTCCCAAAATGCATTGGGCTATATATAGAACACCAAAAACGCTGAAATTGACCCATAGTTGTAGAAAATGCATTTGATGTAGCCGACCAAAATTAGTAGTACAGTAAAAATACTTGAAAACGTCTTGGAGGAATGTCAGCAAAGGATTTCTCAYTAGCATCTTATTGTTCCTTYSCCCAACATGTCCGCCGGTCTTTTWTCTTTTRAATTTCATGGGAATGGTCGAAAACCATCAATRAAASAAAATTACTCATTACATAAAAGCACRTCGTAGTTCTTAATTYATTCTAGCGATTTTTAATGTATTTTTTTTCAAAATGTTGAATTGTAACATAGACGTGTTTACGTTGACCGTTTTAATTACCAAATGAATAATATGTGCTACAAAATGTCCTATGCCTCTYTTCTTTGGTACAAGTGTATGTATGGTATGGAATAGCAAGAGAAAACGGTGTACAAAAGATTCGCTTTCTTTTCTTTCTTTTTTCTTTTCTTTTTCTYTTTTTACGCAGATCACACGCCAAARYATTRAAGTTGKRATTACGTGATTGTGCTTTGAATACGCTGATTTTTCTTTTCTGTTTATGTATAGGAATAACTATTTTGCACTCCTTTCAGCTCCATGTTATCATCCAAATAACCTTTGTTGGAACCACTGCCATCATATCCTTCGTTGTATAATTTGTGTCGGCGATCATTGCGTTTTCTGAAAATACAAAAAAGTATGTAGCATTAATTTATTTAATCATCTTTGCACTACAAAGAAAAAGAAAMTTCAATGAGGCAACAATCAATAGGTGATATACAAAAGTATGTAGAAATTGGAGTAAGGCATTCAGAATTTCACGATTTAAGGGAGACCCGGCCTCAGTATCCACATCGTTCCAAGACTCCAGTTTCGAATTCTTTTTTGTGCAATCAGGGGCGGATCCAGGAGGGGGGGATTGGATGGCTAGCCACCCCCCTCTTTTTTTGACAAACACATATAAAGGCTTTAAGATTTGAAAAAAAAAGACATTGTTAATTAATTAGGATTATTGTATAACGGAAAATATGTATTATTACTTCGAAGAAAATATAGAGTAAGAAGAACTGTTTGAGGTAACTGATGTTTATATATTCATAAATATCTTTCATATAAAAATTTGCATTGTTGATAAGCTCAAAATATCATAGGTGTGCCCGAGATAGCGATAAAYGATAGTTTCACACATTAACTATGTTTCACATGAGCCTTCAGTTCAAATTAATTGTAACGTACTTTAATATTAAATTTCAATTTAGCCACACCATTGTGAAAAATCCTGGATCCGCCCTGAAGCTTAGCTTCAATCACGCTTCTAGAACTCATTAATAATTCATGAGCTATTAGTCCAATGAGCATCGAACTATTGGGTCACATGATGGRCCTTTATATCCCGATAAAGCACTGATGTTTTATTAATCAGTTCTATATCAGATATAAAGAACTGATGTTCAAGGTCATCAGCGYTTWATTGTGGCAAATGCACATGCTCAGTAGAAGTTTAATATGCATTATCACTGTTTTCGCATTTTTTAGCTTTTTTTCTAAAATAATAGCGATTTCTTGATGTTAAAGTTCTAGAAGTAGTATAAAGAACTCAAGAGTGTGTTTTATCGGGACTAAATTAAGATCCTCGCCTTCGGCTTGGATCTTTATCACCCGATAAAACGCACTCTTTCGTTCTTTATACACTACATAAAGTTTTGTTGTCTTCTTTGTACACAGAGGCTTTGCATTACAATAGATTCTCTGCTGAATAAAAGGATGTATGACATGCTTTCGAGGTTAACACTGCACAAATAAGATCTCGTAACTGAAGTATTGCCTAAAATGAAAGTTCCACCTTCACCCAAGAGCCCTCGCGATAGGTTCGTTTGTTTTCAAATGAATCMTTACGATTAGAGGTGATTTCTGATTGGTTTAAAATCAAAGATGGCGATTTTTTGTGAGTGAGAAAACCTTGAATGTACGTCGGCCTTTAAAGTATGTTATTCCCTTTGATCACTTCATTTTAAAGTTCATTAGATATACGAACTTTGAAACAGTCGCTCAAAAATGTTTTCATGAATGCCATCTGGGAATATGGCCATTTCCTGCATTGCATACGATAAATTTCATGTCATGAAGCCATTTTTAAGCGACACCTTCAAATTTCATATATCAATATGAAGCCTTCTTCGACATCATTTTCATTAACATATTGTAAAATTGAACTTTCATAACTCRAAGACGCAACACTGAAATGCAAGAATATTTCACCATTCAATTATTTATTTTATAAAGCTATTTCAAAAAATGTTGTCGGATAAATTGGCGAATGTCAATGGTCGAACGGCCATTGCACGCCCGAAAGTAGCCATGGGTTTTGCTAGTTGCCATTGCACGCCCGAAAGTAGCCATGAATTTTGCTAGTTGAAAGGCAATAACAACTGATTTATAGTGTGTGAGAAATCCTTTTGTGAACATTGGCTCCATTTAGTCTCCATTTCTATGTAGTACAATCGCCATCGCCGTTCTTCCCGACAACGTTTTTTTGAAATAGCTGTATATAGAATCAGCTCACATAGAAACAGAAATAACTTTACGATGCAAGCGCTACTTCAACCTAAAAGTTATTTATTTTCGTCGAGCTTTCGGCTCACCGAACCATTATCAAGACTGAATGAAAAACGTTTTCATTCAGTCTTGATAATGGCTCGGWGAGCCGAAAGCTCGACGAAAATAAATAACTTTTAGGTTGAAGTAGCACTTACATCGTAATGAATAGACCAACCTACAACCATTTATTTGATCAGAAATAACTTTGTCAGGTGTCATAGGCACTTTAATTCTTGACTAAAAAGTACTGTGAGCACTGTCTTTGATACTCACCGATAACAGACAACAAGAACAAGAACAACCAAGCAAACAAAAATACCACAGCAAACTCCAATTACAATCCACTTCCAGGTTTCATCAGGAGCCTTTGTTGGAGGTTCTGTTGTTGTGGTTGTTGTATCTTCTGAAATAAGTCTCTCGACTCTAAGCACTGTGTACCCAATTGCATTGGAAATGTTTACTCTGCCATCGTTGGTGATTTGGATCAAAGCATCTATAGGCAGAGCTGATGAGTTACTTCCGGAAGGATTCAATACGTAGAAGGCAACCAGCAAATCACTTCCGGTTTGGTTGGGATATCCAGGCAAGATATGAATATGGCTTACATTGTAGATAGGATCAACGTTTGCTCGCCTGTATACGTAATTTGAATAAAATATTCAGGTATGGTTATGATTAACATTATTTATAAGCATATTACATAGACGAGCAGAGATAAGAATTTTTGATCGAAGCAAGATTGTTTCAAATACATGCATTCCTTTTAGTATTGCTGGACAAGCGTGTATTTTCGATCTACCTTGAAAGAAATCAATATTTTGTATCTCTTATAAAAAGAATTTGTTAATAAAATTGTTAGGCTAATATGGAACGGAATGTCGTGGTAACGTTAATATTTTTTAATTAAGAATCAACCTTGTGCGTCGAGAAAGTCCTTGAATSCCGCATTGCCTTCTGTTGTTTGAACAGTGTTTAGAAGCCAAAGCTGCCATTGTTTCCTTAAACTTTAGCTGTACAACTGCATTCCACTAAAAAAAGGAAAACTCGATTAAAGCATGGCAAATCCGCTAAAAGTGAATTAATTCACTTTGAAAATAAAASTTCACCTAACGGATTTTAAATTTTTTTTAGGGGATTGTTGAGACATGCATGGAGATATAAGTTACCTAAAGAAGATGATTTCATACAATCTATAATCTGTTGTATGCTTGACGCATTTATATGTAAGTAAACAATAGCACGAGCGAGCGCTGTATTATGGTTGGTTGGGACTCTTTAACAATTCCCTTCGGTGTTAGATTCGATGACATCACCTTTTGCAAGCTAACAACATTTTATCAATATAGTCTCCTTTATACTTCCCGGCGCCATCTTGAAAGTTAGCCGTGCCTTTACATCGAAGCGAGACGACCATTGAGCGTGCAATGACAAATAACTGTGAATAATTGTCTGTAGGTTTGAAAGAAGGTTTCTATCGTTGCACGCTCAACGGTTTTCTCGTTTCGATGCAAAGSCAAGGCTGCCTTTCAAGATGTCGCAGAGAACCGTGAAGATGACTATATATGTATGATTAAAAATTAAAGTTGAAATTAGTCATTAATAATTAAAAGAAGCAACGCAATAGATACGTTTTTCATGAGCATGTTCTTTATTGTGATGAGTGCAGACTGCCTTCTTTCATTCTCTCCAGGACTTGGAGTTGTCATTGGTTTATAAGTAGTGGCACTCGTAGGCCTTACTGTTGACAGAGCCTCTATAATTGAAAAAAAAAACAACAACATCAGTTAACGCTCGAATAAAATATAAAATATAGTATAACGATTTTTTAAAGAAAGGCGAATGATTATAAATGAAGAATTTTGATGATTATTATGGGGAGTGCATGGCTAAAGCTTCCAACAAAATACTTCCAGCTCGATTGTTAATAGATAATTTAATTTTATTCGTCTAATTTAAAATAAAACTACCATGAATTAATAATTCAAAATTGAATGAATAAATTTATATCAAAGAAATAATAATTAAAAAGTAAAGAAACTTGCAAACAAGAAGGTCATGCATCGACGAGTTGCTTTGGAATACTCGATTATTGGGATAAATATAACTGACTATGGTGTCCATTTCCTTGTGCAAATTCACTTTCATAAACAATAGCTACCGTTTTACCTTGACAAGATCCATTCCTAAACTCAAGCCCAGATTCGCAATCGCATTTGTAAGACCCAGGCATGTTCACACATGTATTACGAATGCCAGAGCAGTTGTATAGGCTTTCATCGGCGCATTCATTGATGTCTGCAAACAAATATACAGATACGCAGGGTAAAATCTAATTAGTCCAAGGGCAAAAGCAAGGGAGAGTGAAAGGGCGAGTGGTGCATTGCCTTCCTTTTTTACCATAGCGGAAAGAGATGTCACACAAAAGTTTCAACAGAAAATCAAGGAAGACTATGAGCTGTTATTATGAGCTGAATGGATGACTATGGAAGACTTCATCTAACCAGTTGAAGTCAGTGATGAAAATGAGCTACCTTCACAAGTCGACCCATCTTTTGCCAAGGTGTAACCTGAGTTGCACTTGCACTGGTAACTGCCATTGTTATTTTCACAAACTTGACTGCAAAGTTTAGGCTTGTGATTGCACTCGTTGATATCTGTGTAATGTAAAAACATTATAAACAGACTAAAGAGTACCTACTTTGACATGGTAATATATAATACGATTGTTTCCGAGTGTCACTGTTTTATCAGAAAAACTCGTTATCGTTGTTGCAACGATAACAATTCCTTGCAGTGAACAACAAACAGATACCTTCGCAGGATTTTTGGTCACTCTTKAGCTTGTATCCTTTATTGCAAGAGCATTTAGGMATGTTATTATACATGTAGCATACTTGGTCGCAGCCTTGAACTGTTTTGTTGCAGGTTTCATTAGCTGTAAAATTTAAAGTAACGGCATAAATTAATTAATTTGAATTCTGTACTTGATCAATCCTTGCATCGCGAAGAGACGA